TTTGGCTTTACTTTAAGAGGCGATTCAGACATAGACAAGAATGATTACCCAGGTAAGGTTTGCTTTCTTTTCCCATGAGAGAGTCCACTTCCTGGAAGGAGCCATTCTCTGGAAAATGCATCATGTGTGAGCAGTTCTCTTGTCCAGGCTACAGCCAAGCTTAAATGTGGCATAGATTCTTTGGGTAAGATTCCAGAGCAACTTTCATGAGACTTTGAAGACAGACAAAACAAACACTCCCTTTCCTGCCAAGAAATGATGTTAAAAGAAGCAAGGTGGCTTTTTAAAAACTGCACTGGATATAAAACTTATCAATTGGGCAATAAAAGTTTTTATTTGAAACCCCTCAGTAATTTGTTCTCCACTGACAAAGACAGCTTGCATCAGATCCCTTTTAGAGCAGTTTATTTTAACCCTGTAATTCCCTTTTGAGCACATAGTGCCTATGAATTAACTTCTGCACTTCAACATTTGTGTCATAAAGCTCACGGTTTTGGAGCATAAATATTTTCCAGCCACATTTGGGGGTTTTCCAAAGATAGGCTGACGTTTTTTAAAGTGAAGCAAAAAGAACTGGTCCATGATATAGATCACAGACTATTCTTGATCGCCTAATTCATGTAGAGAGTTCAGTAGAAATCCGTAAAGCACAGTGAGGTAATTCATGTTTTGTGCACACAGTGCTGTTTTAAAGGATTGTTTCAGTAATCAGGGATTTTAGCAAAGAACATTAGACTTCTTGGCTTTGTGGTTCAGTTTTCACTTTTATGTTGGTTACTTATAAGATGGTTTCAATAAATACTTACAAATCATTAATAGTTAACTGACAGCTTCAACTATTTATTGAAACTTTGTCTCCTCCATCACCCATTCCCTAATTGAGTATTTTCCATATGTAAAGCTTTTTTTTTCCTGTTTTCAGGGAGCATTCAGTAAACTAACTGACTAAATATACATGACTAATTTCAATCCTTCAACTTTCTCTTCCCCTCTGGAATTAGGCAAAAAGGTTACTGCAGCTTATTCTTACAAATTTGCCAGAAGTTTTTCATGGCATTCACATAGACATTGTAGTGGGCTCAAAGCGGGTTTAGTATTATGTTGTATAGGAATGTGTTCTGCCCGTGGCATTTTCAAGGGCATCTAGTTAAATTAATTTTCTTAGGTTATATTATACTAACCTAATCAATGATGATTAGGCTTTTTTTGAGGGGGAGTGTCTCATACATAATCTATTCTATTTTAAATAATCCCAAAATGAAATCCCCTATGATTTCTTCCCCAAATATGGCAGGATAATTAATGAAATCATTAGTCACCATTCAACTCCTGAGTTGCAATTTTAGAGAAACAGTTATTTTAGAAAGTTAGTACTATTCCTTACGTCCATCATAGTCTTCCCTTAGTACCAGGGAACTTGACAGAGAATGGCCATGCCTTCCACAAGGGAAAGGAAATAGAGAATGTATAGCCAGTCCATCAACTTTCTCTGAAGACTTCTAAATAAGGGCAAGGAAGAAGAGGAATGTGAAACAACTGTTCTCTCAAGGAATGTTCCCTCCAGGGAGTTGGATAAAGGAGTAAGACAAGGAGAAGCTAAATTAGGTACAATGTCAGTAATTAGTCACCTCTTAATTACCTCTTGTTCATGCCTTCTTGACAATCAGAGAAAAGTCATGTGAGGCCATTCACTAGTCAACAGCTTTATGCATTGAGGCTGATTCAATTTATAGTAACCAATGACATTAATGCAGTATATCCATCTGTATGTAAAGTGAATGCTCTTTACTAAGGTAGGACTATTAATGCCACTTAGTTGAATTTTTCCATCACCCTTTCTCAAGATAGCCTTGAGGCTTTCAGAATTCGTCTGGACATCATACTTGGTAGACCTGAGTTCTGGTCCCAATTCTGTCTCTCAAATATAGATGTCTTGAGCTTCATAATCTTGCAATATTTTCCCTGATCCCATCTTCTTGTGAAAGAGTGCCATTCAAAGAAGGCTTTCTATCTTGACACCAAGTCTCCAGGAGTCTAATGATAGGAAAACTGCCTTATAGGCAGGCAGGTGACCAGATTCTGTTAGCCAGTGTAGCCAATTTGAAATTTGCATGCATAATACAGGAATTAGACACGGAACCTTCCTCATTTTTCTATAAGTGAATTCCATGTAACTCTCAAAGCCTCCATTTCCATGATGGTGGAAAACCTTAATCTTTGCAGTCACTTCTAGATTCAGACTTAATGTCATTTGGGGAAGTATTCATCAAGACTCTCTCTTTCCTCCCTCTGTGGCCACTCTCCCAAGGAATGGAATAGTGAAGGGGGTGCCTGTTGTCCAGGGGTGGAGAAAGGGGCACCTGGTCCAAGAGCATCATCCGTAGTTATTGGCCTCAGTATCTCATGATCTTTGACGTGATGCTTGAGCTTCTGTGCTTAATTCAGTGGTCCACTTAGTGGCCACTACCCAGAAGTTCCATGTGTCTGGGTCCTCCTTGTCCTGTTTCGGTTTCTTCTGGTTCACTCTCAGCAAGCGCTTCTATGCCACGGTTGGGACTCGAATACTCGCAGGTTGGGATCTTTCAGTTTCTGAGATTGCCTTTGGGCATATCCTAGATTATTCCTCTAGCTATTGTTTATTTTCCACCTAGATGTCTGTTACTCCAGCATGTAAGAGGGTTGAAGTCTTCTTGGGTTTGGCTTGAGAAGTAGCAGAAGCCCTCTTTTCCCCCCAAAGGTGACTGGGTGGCATGCTGAAGTAAGATCTATGTACTCCTCCTCCATGGCCTGTTTCGTGGTTTTCCAAACCAGTCCTTTCTGGAACTTAAAAATAGATATACTTTTCTTTCTCTCTGTGGTCCTGCTTCTTCAATCCAAAGAACTCTGTCTTCAGATTATTGTCTCTTCTATGAGTTTCAAAATCCATTCAACACACCGACTTCCTTCTGCTAGGATGCATCTTGGTCACCACCTAAAAGCAGTGGTCCTCCATCTTGGCTACACATTAGAATCACCTGGGGAACTTTAAAAAATTTGTATGCTCAGGTCACCCTCCAGACCAGTTAAGTCAGGATCTCCAGGGGGCAGAACCCAGACCACAGTCATGTGTTTAAGTGACCTGGGTGACTCCAGTGTACAACCAACCAGGGAACTAATGATCAAGAGCAAGGCTCCCCCCACTTTAATGGACATCTGGATTACCTAGGCATCTTGTTTGAATGCAGATCCTGATTCAGTAGGTCAAATGGGTGGGAAAGACTTCTCATTTCTAGTCCCTGGTGACACGATTAGTGCTGGTCTGCACACCACCTCCTGAGTAGCAAGCTCTGAAACTGGCATGCATGTCAGTTACCTGTTGTGCCTATTAATAAAGGCTGGGTGTGTGGCACTCCCTCAGATATTCTGACTTCCCAAGTCTGGAACGGGGTTTAGGGCTTTGGGTTTGTACCCAGTATCCTACTCTGCGAAACACCACCCCAGAGTCTCCATTGCCAGGTTCCCATGCCCACAGCAACAGGTACGCAGTGTTCTCTTTTGGCAAGAATGGA